AGAAAACATGGACAATAAAGAAATGGCAAAAGAAGTAAAAAAGAAAAATGGCTAGAATCAGGAGCAGAAGCAATTCATCACTGCTCCCTCTCGTTCCCGTTTTCTCCAGGAGGCAGAACTACAATAATGGCAAACAGCACGCTGAGGCTACCCTACCAGCTTATCTTCCATAGTAGAGGGAATCTTCCCCCTTACCTCTGCCAGAAACATCTCAAGGGACATGCTAATAGCCCTAACTTAGATCATGTGCCCACCTATTTGCCATCAGCTCTGGCCCCCTAATTGGCAGTCCCTCTTGAACTGGAGTAGGAAGGGAAACTCGGAAATTTCCAATGAAAATGTTAAGATGTCATTACTGAAAGGAATATGAAGGGATGGTGGGTATTTAGAAACAAATGCCAACAAACATTTGACAAGTCATGGTTGATCAGCTAAAATGATTGTGGGAATGTGTCTGGACTACAGTTCCATGGGCTTTCAATGGATTGAAATGTATGCACAACTTGACTATATGTGTTTCTGAAACCAGACAATGAATGGGTCCTTGGCTGCCTGTCACTATTTGAGCCAATTAAGCAGAGACAGCTTTGAATTGTATATGAGTGTTTTATTTTCCAGTATTGCCAGCAACATGGGAGAGCAGTAGGTCATCCACAAAAATCTGCTCTAACACCACCCCACCACCCACCTCCAGCCCCATAAGCCAGCTGCTTATATTGGGTATAAGAAAAAAGGTTAGGAATGGGTAAAATGGTTACAGATTACAGGCAATGCAGGCTGGGGTTGCAAAGGGCGGGTTCCTCCAGGTGGTTACAGTCTGGGACCCCACTGTTTCAGCAACAAAGTGGTTAATCTTTCCGTGATGATAGGAAAGGAGAATGGACCACATTCCGAGGTTAACTCCCAGGTCCCCGGGTGCACAGCTCCCAGCCAGGTCAGAATGAGCTTTTTAATCAGAACAAAACAATCACGGTTAACAGAGCATGATTAATATTTCTTCTAACTATAGCTAGTCCCCATCATTCTATTTCTGCCCCTCCCAGATCTTCCCTGTGAGGGGTCCATCCCTTCATGAAGCACAAAGGATTCCGGAGTAGGAGGGCAGCAGCCCATGGGCAGGGCAGGAAACGCCCCCTCTCCCTCCCCACCCGCAGCGCCTCCGGCTCCATAGAGCCCAAAGGCCAAGCCATGCGAGGCAACGTGGCAGAGTAGAAAGTGTAAAGACAAGGCGTTACACTTTATGATTCCTCCTTAACTCTCTTTAAACTCTCTTTATCTTGTTGGATCGAAAGACCTAATTCACAGTTTAAAATAGTTGAGCCCAGGACTTGGCACCTAGAGCATTTCCAGTACTTCCTTTTGGTTCTGTAGCAAACCGGGTAAGGCAGAGACTACCCAGAAGCGATTCCTCCTGCTTGCCATGTCCTATTAGTGGCACTTCACGTTATTTAGCAGTAAGGAATCAAGGCTTACTCCGGCATTCTAGAGAAGTCGCTGGGCCCTCCCTTTGACAGCATTCCCTCTCGGTGAGAGCCCAGAGAATGTTTCCAGAGAATCAGCTGCTTTGTATTCTGCTTGCCGGTGCATGCTGGTTCTCAAGCCGTCCCCAGTGTATACTGCTCCAGCCGGCTGGGAGAATTTCCCAAAGAGGCCTGTGCCACCTTCAGCCCCCGTGGCTTCTAGGTGAACTTCTCCGCCCCTTTGAACACATTGAAGACAGGGCCCAGCCCCCAAAGTTGCATTCCTATGAGAAAAGTTCTCACCTTCCCCAGTGTGAAAGTAAGAATCAAGCTTATTAACACCTACAATTAAATCAGATGCTGAAGCTGTGTTTTCATAAGTATTCAGGATAATTTGTTAGTGGGCAAAAATAGAACAGAATAAAATCATATTAGAGTGACGGAGAATATAACAGCGTGAGTACATCCATTCTCCTGCTTCAAAATCTAATTTGGAAGCTTGATTTTTTTAAAAAGTAAAGTTTGCATGTTAATGGTTGAAAATGATCTCTTCCTTAGAACTAATTGTCATGTACATACTTTGAAAACTTGGTGTTTGTAATTTTTGAAAGATCTTAGTTCATCCTTTCACTGATTCATTCAGTAAACCTCTATAGGTGGCCTGCTTTATTTTAGGCATTAAGACATATTTGACTTTTATATGACTTACTAAACAATTGGAAGTTAATCTCTAAACTGGGAGTTAAATTTCATGTTTAATTTTTTTTCTAAAATGGCGTCTTTCTGCTTCTAAGTAGATTAAACAATGGAATAATATGCATAGAATTTTAAAATTTATTGTTACCTTTGCCTCAACATATCTGTTAAATTATGAATGTTATCTTAGTGGAATGTCAGCAGACAACACTTAAATTTTAAAAGCTCTTAATAAAATCCATAATAATTTTTTGTTACATATTGATGATAATATAATATTTATTAAAAAGACAAATTTTAATAATGTAATATAAGAATGATATATATGAGGCTTTAAAAAAATTTAATCCATTTTCTACACTAACTAACATGAAAGGAATGTCTCTGAGGAGTTCCCAAGCACTTTAAATCTTTATCTTTTGTAATTTCCGAATGAGTTCCGTTTACACTCATTTTATCATAACCATTTGTTATTTAATTCAACACACTTTTACCTAATACCATGCACATAATAATATGATATGTTGCTTCATATGAAAATGTTTCCAATAAGGTATTCCTTTGAAAATTATTTTCCCATGAGATGTTATTAGTACTTCTGCCAGCCAAATAAACAAGCAAAGTAAGTAAATAAGGAATAAACTATTATATTTTAATGAGTGAAACACAGAAATAAACAAGGATATATTGTAATAAGTGTTTGATAGCAAGGTGCCTTTTCTCTGAGGAGTGCTATTTCCACTGAGTTTTGAAAGCTGGGATTGTTTCAGCTTAGTCTGAGCTGGGGAAGAGTGTTCCAGGCAGCAAGATCAAGTTTCTCAGTTCTGGGTAAGAAAGAACCTGGCCCAGTGGGTGTGGCTCAGCGGCTGTGTGTGGACCTAGAATCCAGGCAATCGGGGTTCGATTCCCGGTCAGGGCACATGCCTGGGTTGCGGGCTAGATCCCCAGTCGGGGGCGTGCAGGAGGCAGCCCATCAATGACTCTCTCATCATTGGTGTTTCTATCTCTCCTTCTCCTTTTCTCTCTCTGAAATCAATAAAGATATCCTGGGGGGGACAGGGGGGGGGAAGAGCCTGGTACNTTCTATCTCTCCCTCTCCTTTTCTCTCTCTGAAATCAATAAAGATATACTGGGGGGGATGGGGGGGGGGGCAAGAGCCTGGTAGGTTTACAGGACAGAAAGGAGNAAGAGCCTGGTACGTTTACAGGACAGAAAGGAGGTCATTGTGGCCAAAGGGATCATGTAGGATGTTATAGACCTTGTTAAGAAGTTTCAATGTGTACTAAATAAGTAGAGAAGACATTGAAGTTCTTTAGAAAGCTGAGGAATGACATAATATAACCTAAGTTTCGAAGAGGAAACTGGCTGCTTTGTGGATAGATTGTAGATGAGCAAGAATGGAAGCAAGGGAACTAATTATTTGGTGATTGCAGTACTACTGCAAGAAATGGCATTTACATTGTCGTTCTTCATTTTGCGGTGATATGCCCTTACAAAGTGGCGTGCCATATGTTCAAACGCTGCAGCTCATATGCAAGATCACTTGACATTGTGAGCACATCATGGTCCATCTGGGCACCGAAGCAGTGGCAGGGAGCAGGACAAACACCCAACTAATTCATATCTTTTGTTTATTTGATGATCATTGGTTTGTATGAGATATTGGTCTTGTAATTTCAACATGTAAGTTTTAAATGATTCACTATTTATTGTGTATTAAATACTGTGGACATGGACTTCCCCTAGAACCAATACTGACTCAATATTGAGTTGATAATGCAAATGACCCTTGAACAACTCAGGGGTTAGGGATGTTGACACCTGTGCAGTAAAAAAAATCTGTGTATAACTTTTGACTCCCCAAAAAGTTAACTAGTAATAGCCTAGTGTTGATCAGAAGCCTTACTGATAACATGCACAGTTGATAAACACATATTTTGTATGTTATATGTATTATATACTGTATTCTTACACTAAAGTAAACTAGAGAGAAGAAAATGTTATTAAGAAAATCATAAGAAAGAGAAAATATTTTTATAGTATTTGTTGAAAAAAAAATCTGCATGTAAGTAGATCCATGCAGTTAAAATCCATATTGTTCAAGGGTCAACTGTATATTTTAAAACACCATTAAAATGCTAGAATGTTATTTTTTATTTTGCATATTACCAAGATCAGCTAAACTACAACTACCTGAGAATCTTGCTTAGTTGAAAGTATATCTGTAAAATTGAGCTGAGTATTTGCAGGAATTAATTGCATTCAGAGAAATTTTTTGTAAATTAATTACTGTATTTGGACTAGCTGTGCTAAGATAGTGCTCATTAAAATAACAACAATGAGACCAATTTAATTCTAAGTACTCATGACAGTGCCACAATTATTTAAGTCCAGCTTATGTGTTAGGTTTTAAATTGCAGATACACTATTTCTTAAGGTAAATGGTTGTGCTAATACTTAGCCTTCAGCCTTCAATCTTTTTATTTATGTTTCTTTTAAACTTTAAAATTATAGACCAGTGCAAATTTTATCACATTTCATAAATTAACTTTGAAGGTAATTTCTGATTTAACAACACATGGATTATGCTATAGATTTAGATATATTTCCAACCTGATAGATACATTTTCCAACTAGAAAAATTTTACAGTAAATTTCACATTTCTATAAATATTCAAAATGCTAAACTAATTTTAAAAATATTTTTTGAAATAATAATGGGTGAAATTTAATGTTTATTTTCAGATTGTGTGCATTAGTTGTTAACCACATTCAAGTAAATTCAGCTTTTTTTTACTTTATGCTCTACTTTAGATTTGAAAAGCCTGTGCTTTTATTTTGTAGATTGTTGCCTTGCGTGAACAAAATGTTCATATACAAAGAAAAATGGCATCAAGTGAGGGATCCACAGAGTCAGAACACCTTGAAGGGATGGAACCTGGCCAGAAAGTTCACGAAAAGGTATGACGCATACAGCAAGCTCTTACCTGGAAATGTTTACTTGTTATATTATTTGACAGAATTATGAAATATGAATTCCATGTAATAAACATTATTATATTTTGATTTGTTTGTCAAAAGTTCATGATGATTCCTTTTTATTTATTGGTCTCAACTTGATTCTCTTAAAACTATGTGCATCTATGACCTGGTAGGTGTGGCTCAGTTGGCTGAGCATCATCGCATATAATACAAAGGTTGTGGTGTGATTTCCGGTCAGGGCATCTGCCTGGGCTGGGGCTTCAGTCCCAGCAGGGAGGCAGCTGATTCATGTTTCTCTCCCACATCAATGTTTCTCTCTCTCTCTCTCTTTCTCTCCCTCTCTCTAAAAATCAATAAACATATCCTTGGGTGAGGATTTTTTTTAAAGTGTATGTTTATGCAAGTTCATATTTGAGTTTCTCATTACTGTTAGCTTGATTCTCTTAAAAAATAATTCGGTTTTATATCTAATTGAACATATATACAGTCAAATAAATATATCCATATAGACATATTGCCGGAGCCCGCCGGCAGAGTCGAACGGTCCTGGGGAAGGGGTGAGGATGAAGAAAAGACAGACACAAAAAAGATGGGATCGGGAGGGCTGCAGCTCATGCCTGTTGCCAGCTGCCAGCCCCGAGTTTATTTTTCTAGCTCAATATATACAGGCACTGTTGATTGTGCTGAATAGCACCCCTCCCCACATTCCTACAAGGCCGTTTGGATGCTCTTTCAGAGTAAACACTCTGCCACCTGCAGGAGCTCAGACCTTGGTAACTATCTTTATCTCGGCTTCTAATGGGAACTTTTGGGGAGGATTGAGTCCTTGGCTTGGTAT